GGGAGTGGGAGGAGCTGAGGAAGGGGTAAGGTGACCCAAAATGTCATTGAAAATTCTTAGAGCGGGCTTTTGGGGTGGGGGGGGGTGAGGTGGAGGGACATTGGCATGGAGTTCCAGAAAGTGGGGGAAGAATAGCTGAAAGCTCTTCCACTGATGGTGGGTTGGGCAGGGGACATGAAGCAGGCCATTGATCACTGGGCAGAGGGAGCAGTTGGGGTGGTAGGTTTGAAGGATGTGGCAATGGAAGGGTGGCCAAGTGTGTAGAGGGATTTGATGCAAGGCCAAGGATTTTGATTTAATCCTTTGGGAGATGGGGAGGAAATGGAGCTGAGCGAGGATAGGCTCTTGGATCCTGGTACAGAAGACGACATACATTACAATGTTCTGGATGGTCTGCAGCTTGTGTGGGCAGGAGCTGGGAAATCTAGTGACCAGGGCATTCAATAGAGCCTTACTCTGTCTCTAACCTGTGCTGTCAGGGACCTGAAAGTGCTGGAAAGATAGTTGTAGATATAATTCTTAAGGGAAATGGCGATCTTTGGGAAGTATTGTTCTCTGGAAAGGTGCCATGAACAGGGCGAGTATCCATGAATTTTACCCCAATGTGTTTGCACTTGTCCAAGATCTCAGGCGCCGCAGCAGCTGCTCCTAGTTAGCTTTTCAAAGGCTGGCACCTCGTTACATTAACCAGAACCAGGTTGTGGGCATGTACATGTCCATGAATGATTGGAGGCTGGAAACCAAGTGAACAGAGACCTGCTGTGCAATCTTGTGATGTATAATTTGGAATCGAAACCACAGGTCAGACACACAACAAAGCAATTGTAAAAAATTTGAAGAATACCACATCCTGCTTAGAAACATGACTGAACCTGTCAGCACCTTCCCAATCCAATCATTCATGGTGATAGATAGTTTAGACCTTTACTTTGTATCTAACCTGTGCAGTATCCAGGAGATGTGGATGGGACGGGTGAGGCAACCCCATTCTATAGTTGGAGTCCTGTAGTGTATTGGTTAGAGCACTTGCCCATCGCAAGCGAGAGGAGCTGGGTTTGATTCCCGGGCAGGGCAAAACCTTAGGCAAGGTTCCTTACTCCACACACCTCTGTTTATCTAGCAATAAGTAGGAACCTGGTTGTTACTCAATTGGCGGCTCGCTATTCTGGGGGTAATAATCCCTACAAAAAAAATTGGGTGACTCAATCCACAACTGTTTGTGGGTCACTAGCATGCGTAATTAGCTGCCACAATTCACCCACAAAATATACAGTCAATTCACTTTACAGTCTATTCTGCGAAGCGTTTTGAGACGTCTCGACGATGTGATTAGGCGCTATATCGAATTCAAAGATTATTATTGTTATAGTTGACCTGGGAGCGCTGAATTGAACAATGTACAGAGAGCTTTAATGTGTATCCTGTGCTGTATCTGACCTGGTTGTGCTGGATGGCAAATGTAGAAGCCGTTTCTGTAATCCTGATTGTTTACACTGATGCCAAAAAGTGGAATCAAGCATTTTTGACGAGAGCACTGATATGATTCATTTTGAATTTACCCAAACATCTGTCCAATAAATAAGGTTTCCCTATTGTATATAAAGTTTTTATATTATTACAAAAGGTTAACGACCTATTTCCACAAACATCGTCAATTGTCCGATTTCTTGCCAGAATCAGAGTGTCTCCCAGTCTATCCAGCACAAGAATTTGTGTCCAATGAGGACATAGAGATGATGGGAGAGAAATGACTGTCACAGACTCGCTGGTGGATGAGTCAGTAACTAGAAGGTGCCAATTTAAGATAACTGTCAAACGAACAAATGGGGAGAAGGATTTGGGGGCAATTGAGAGAATGGTGGAACCACTTCCATGTGTGGTGGTTCAGAAAGAATCCCTATTAAGTATCAAGAGGAAACTAGATAGACAGATGCATAAAAAGGAACCTTTCACAGGGGTTTGGGGAAAAGGCAGGGAATGAGATGGAATAGGTTTCTCTGATGACAGGACAGCAGCCTGGCTCATCGGCAGGACTTGGAAGGGCAGACCAGTCACTGGGGGTAGGGACTCTTCGCACTCTGATCCTGTAGCCAAACCTCTTAACGGGTAGCGTGGTCCCAGCTGGACAAGCCGCAGGAAAGCTTGTCAGACAATGATATCAATGGCAAGCTATGTGTTTTTTGCTGGTTACACTCCAGCAGTTACCCCAACGCAAACTCAGGGAACCCCAAGCCTTGGCTCTTGCCAACTTGTGCCTAATAGTCTCCAGAATTAGGTAAGGAATTCAGTCCAACATATTGTGCAGTTTTTTTTGAAAAAGCAAACCTTTCAAAAGAAAAGTCTGTTCAATTCAGACTGTTCCAGCAGGATCAGGACTTTTCTTATTCCATTTACATTTGTAAGATATTTTAGCATTTGTGTAATCTTATTCTACCAAGGTACAGAGAGATGGATGTGTTAATAGTAATGTTTATGTCTTCATCGTTTCGTGTCTAGCATTCCTTCTCATGCCTTTTCCATCTGCGTTCATTTAAATCTCTTCACGCAAGGTTTGGCTATTTTAAAAATAGCAATGACAGACATGTGTCAGGCTGGCGTCTGGCCAGGCGCATCCTTCACTTCCATAACATGCTGTAATTTTCTAGTTTAAAGGAGTGTCAGAAGGCCCTGTGAAATCAGGCTTCTTCCACATTCCTGCACACGGCAACAGGTAAACACAACCGCCTCAATGTCCCTGGAACGGCAAAGTATTTTACTTTTGTTTCTGTTTAACTTTTAAGACGTGTTTTGTTTTGCAATAGATGCAGTCACTTGTTGTGGGTGTTACACAGGAAATTCTGCAGCAAACTATTCTTGGCACTGAATCTGCCATAAAATGTCCTAATATGGCAACACTTCCCTCAGAACAGTGGGAGGGGAAAATCACATTGTCCACATTTACATTCAAGAGTCATGTTGGTACTAATCAGCTATTGACTAGTTTGAGAAAGTGCCTGTAACAGGGAGTTTGAGTGAGGTATCTCACGATGGTCACCCAAAGGTCTGGGGAGCTCAGATCTGGGGATACTGGCAATCTGCGTTCACAACTTTGAGTAGGGACTTGAGCTGAGATAAGGTGCCATCTTGTCATAGCCGCTGGTATTCCTTCATTGAGTCCTTGGCTGATAACACGGAGAGGGAGCAATGTGTGAGCGTGTGTGTCTTTCAGGTCAGGATGAAGCCACGCTCTCATGGTCTCGGCACAATTAAATACCCTCCTTCAAAATCACCCATCAGCTCAGCTGGTGACAACATGACAACACTCTGAGGTTAATCTTAGTAAGAATTCATGGTGTCTGGCCTTGGAGCAGAACATTTACCCACAGGGCTGTGCATCCACATTCACTGACAGATGTGTCAAATGTTTAATAATAATAATAATCCTTACATTTGATATAGCGCTTTTCACATCGGGAGGACGTCCCAAAGCGCTTCACAGAACACACTGTAAAGTGAATTGACTGTATATTTGTGGGCGAACGCGGCAGCCAATTGCGCACAGCAATGTCCCACAAACAGTCGTAGATTGAAAATGACCAATTTATTATTGTTTTGGTTTTGGAGGATTATTATTAGGCTCTGTGTGGAGTAAGGAAACTTGCCCAAGGTTTGGCCCTCTGCCTGGAATTGAACTCAGGTCTCTCACTTGCAAAGCGAGTGCTCTAACCACTGAGCTACAGGACTCCACAGTTTGACTACGTTTAATCAACAGAGGTGTTCAAACATGTAACACAACCACCGGACTAACACCAGCTCCATCTTTAGTGTTTTTCTACATAGTTTGCACATAAATGTCCATAATGTGCCAGTGTTTTGTCTGTGGCGTGAACAACAACAACAAATTACATGTGGGGGGGGGGGGGAGTGTGGGGGAGGGGAGAGTGTGGGGGATGAGGGGAGTGTGGGGGGGAATGTGGGGGAGGGGAGAGTGTGGGGATGAGGGGAGTGTGGGGGGGAATGTGGGGGAGGGGAGTGTGGGGGGGAGTGTGGGGGGAGAGAGTGTGGGGGAGGGGGAGTGTGGGGGGGATGTGGGGGAGGGGAGAGTGTGGGGGGGAGTGTGGGGGAGTGTGGGGAGTGTGGGGGGAGTGTGGGGGGAGTGTGGGGAGGGGGAGTGTGGGGGGGGATGTGGGGGAGGGGAGAGTGTGGGGGGAGTGGGGGGAGTGTGGGGGGAGTGGGGGAGTGTGGGGGGGAGTGTGGGGGAGTGGGGGGGGAGTGTGGGGGAGGGGGAGTGTGGGGGAGGGGGGGTGTGGGGGGATGTGGGGGAGGGGAGAGTGTGGGGGGAGTGTGGGGGGAGGGGGGAGTGTGGGGGAGTGGGGGAGGGGGAGTGTGGGGGGGATGTGGGGGAGGGGAGAGTGTGGGGGAGGGGGGAGTGTGTGGGGGGAGTGTGGGGGAGTGGGGGGAGTGTGGGGGGGGGGGGGGGGGAGTGTGGGGGGGGGGGGGTGTGGGGGGGGGGGGTGGGGGGGAGTGGGGGAGTGTGTGGGGGAGTGGGGGGGAGTGGGGGAGTGTGTGGGGGGAGTGTGGGGGAGTGGGGGAGTGTGTGGGGGGAGTGGGGGGGGGGAGTGTGTGGGGGGAGTGTGGGGGAGTGGGGGGAGTGTGTGGGGGAGTGTGGGGGGGAGTGGGGTGAGTGTGTGGGGGAGTGTGGGGGAGTGCGGGGGGAGTGGGGGGAGTGTGTGGGGGAGTGTGGGGGGGTGTGGGGGGAGTGTGGGGGGAGTGGGGGGAGTGTGTGGGGGAGTGGGGGGAGAGTGTGGGTAGTGTGGGGGGGAGTGTGGGGGGAGGGGGGAGTGTGGGGGGAGTGTGGGGGGAGTGTGGGGGGAGTGTGGGGGAGTGTGACTGATGCGCAATGAAAGAGGAGTGTCTATGAAGGGAGGAGGGGCCGAGGCAGAGGGACTGTGGGTTGGAGTGAGGGTGTGAGGGGGGTTTTGGGTGTGTGGGGGTGTGTGTGAGGGGGTGAGGGGGGGTGAGGGGGGGGTGAGGGGGGGTGAGGGGTGAGGGTGGGGCCGCCCCCGGAGTCCCGGTACCGCTCTCCGGGCGCAGAGGCTTCAGTTCCGCGTTGGTGACGGCGGAGAAGTGACTGTGAAGGTGAGTGGAACAGTGAAGAGCGACAACAACAGTAACAGCGCCACAAACAGTCAGAGCGGCAGTAACTGTGTCACAGAGTAACAGTGTCACAGAGTAACAGTAACTGTGTCACAGAGTAACAGTAACTGTGTCACAGAGTAACAGTAACTGTGTCACAGAGTAACAGTGTCACAGAGTAACAGTAACTGTGTCACAGAGTAACAGTAACTGTGTCACAGAGTAACAATAGTAGTAACAGTGTAACAGCCACATCAGCGGCTCCGCTCTCTCTCTCTCTCCGGTTCTCTCTCTCTCTCTCCGGTTCTCTCTCTCTCTCTCTCTCTCTCTCCGGTTCTCTCTCTCTCTCTCTCTCTCTCTCTCCGGTTTCTCTCTCTCTCTCTCTCTCTCTCTCTCTCCGGTTCTCTCTCTCTCTCTCTCTCTCTCCGTCTTTCTCTCTCTCTCTCTCTCTCTCTCTCCGTTTCTCTCTCTCTCTCTCTCTCTCTCTCTCTCTCTCTCTCTCTCTCTCTCTCCGTTTCTCTCTCTCTCTCTCTCTCTCTCTCCGTTTCTCTCTCTCTCTCTCTCTCTCTCTCTCTCTCTCTCTCTCTCTCTCTCTCTCTCTCTCTCTCTCTCTCTCTCTCTCTCTCTCTCTCTCTCCTCTCTCTCTCTCTCCTCTCTCTCTCTCTCTCTCTCTCTCTCTCTCTCTCTCCGGTTCTCTCTCTCTCTCTCTCTCTCTCTCTCTCTCTCTCTCTCTCTCTCTCTCTCTCTCTCTCTCTCTCTCTCTCTCTCTCTCTCTCTCTCTCTCTCTCTCTCTCTCTCTCTCTCTCTCTCTCTCTCTCTCTCTCTCTCTCTCTCTCTCTCTCTCTCTCTCTCTCTCTCTCTCTCTCTCTCTCTCTCTCTCTCTCTCTCTGTTCTCTCTCTCTCTCTCTCTCTCTCTCTCTCTCTCTCTCTCTCTCCGTCTCTCTCTCTCTCTCTCTCTCTCTCTCTCTCTCTCTCTCTCTCTCTCCGTCTCTCTCTCTCTCTCTCCTCTCTCCGGTTCTCTCTCTCTCTCTCTCTCTCGGGATAATCCCCGATCGCCGCCGCAAAGTCTCAGAACTTTATTTTCACTTCTACCCCCACAGCGCACTGAGCCCCGGGGGGGGGGGGGGGGGGGGGGGGGGGGGGGGGGCTGTGGGGTGAGGCTGGGGGGGGTTTGGGGGGGGGCTGGGGGTGAGGCTGTGGGGGGTGGGGGTGAGGCTGTGGGGGGGGGGTGAGGCTGTGGGGGGGCTGTGGGGGGGCTGTGGGGTGAGGCTGTGGGGGCTGGGGTGAGGCTGTGGGGGGGGGGGGCTGGGGGTGAGGCTGTGGGGGGGCTGTGGGGTGAGGCTGTGGGGTGAGGCTGTGGGGGGGGGGGGGTTGGGGGTGAGGCTGTGGGGGGGCTGTGGGGTGAGGCTGTGGGGGGTTGGGGGGGGGCTGGGGGTGAGGCTGTGGGGGGCTGTGGGGGGGCTGTGGGGGGTTGGGGGGGCCCCAGCACTGAGCAAGGTGAGTGGGGTTTGGGGGATGGGGGGCAGGAGCACAGGAGAGGGTGACTGTGAGCCTCTCACCTCAACCACTGTCACTGACCCCCCCCGGGAGGAGCACATTGTTTACTGCGAACAAAAAAGAATATGGTCCCTCAACCCACGGCTCTGTGAGACGCTGCCGCGCACAGTTGGCTGCCGAGTTTCGCTCAGAAAATACACAGTCACCACACTTTACAGTGTGTCCTGTGAAGCGCTTTGCGACGTCTCGAAGACGTGATGAGGCGCTGTGTCGAATGCCGGGATTATTATCTGCCGTTTCTGAGCGGCATTTCCTGAATCTCTGCAGCTGAAGCTCCTGTTGACGATCAACATTTCGAGGCAGAGCTGCACCGTGTCTGATCAGGGACAGGTTTAGTGCCAAACCTCCCCACCCTGTCCCCAGGCCGACAAAATACACCCAACACCCCCCACGCTCACTCGCAGCTTTTGCTCTCGGCTGGTGTCCGCAGATAGGTGTCAGTCTCCATTGCGGAGTCACACTGGTCAGTGTGTCCAGTAATTACTGTTGGTGTGTGTGTGTGTGTGTGTCTGTGTAGTAATACTGTGGTGTGTAATAAGATATAATAATATAAATTTTATACAATAATTATAATATAAGAAAAGTATATCTGATGGTCACAACTGTCTGGTGTAATCGAGTGGTGTTAGTTTAACTATGTGCTGGACAGTGCCGTGTAATTGTCCGCTGTGATCATGAGATCAGTGTAACTGAGACGGGCTGTGAACCCAGTGTCCGACGCTCAGAGGTTTCGGGTTCTTGTATGTTCTTCCTGTGAAAAGAGTTCAGACACTTTGACTGTTGGTTTCCCCTCAGCGTTCCAGTCACTCTCTTACTTTCTTTTCCTGATGTCTCGGGCGAAGATTGTTTCTCTCCAGTTGAGATGGGACCTCCTTCAGCGCATTTCATCTTTTTTTCTCTCTCTTGCCAATCAATCCACGACCATTTGTGGGGACGCTGCTGTGTGCAATTGGCCGCCGTGTTCGCCCACAAATATACAGTCAATTCACTTTACAACATATTCTGCAAAGCGCTTTGTGACGTCTCGAATATGTGATGAGGGCCATATTAAATGCAAGGATTATTATTGTTGGAACATTGGTTAACACCAGTTCAGTTCCCACTCCCCTAAAAACAGCCGTCATCAGCTCCATCTTGAAAAAACCTTCCCTGGATCCATCCCTCCTCTCCAGCTACCGCCCCATCTCTAACCTCCCATTCCTCTCCAAGGTCCCGCAACGAGTCGTCGTGTCCCAACTCCGCTCCTTTCTCTCTCGCCATTCCCTCTTTGAACCTCTCCAATCCGGCTTCCGCACTGCCCACAAGCTGCAGATCATTCATAACTCTGCAGCTCGTGTACTGTCCCGCACCAGGCTTCGCGCCCACATCACTCCCATCCTCGCCCTCGCCCTCACCCTCGCCCTCGCTCGCCTCCACTGGCTCCCCATCCCCCAGAGGATCAAATTCAAGATCCTCATCCTCACCTACAAGGCCATTCACGGCCTTGCTCCCTCCTACCTCTCCAACCTACTATCCCCCTACCTACCTGCCCGTACCCTCCGTTCCTCTGGCTCTGGTCTGCTCCACATCCCCTGCCCCAACCACCCTACCATCGGTGGCCGGACCTTCAGCCTCTCAGCCCCGAGGCTCTGGAACTCCATCCCCCAGTGCCTTCGCCGCCTCCTCCCTTTCCTCCTTCAAGGCCGGTCTCAAGACCTTTCTCTTTGACCAAGCCTTCAGCTCCGCTCTCGACTCTCTACCCCCTCCTCGCTCCCTCCCTTCCCTCCCCTCACCCTGACCATTCCCCCGCTCCTCGCCCCCTCCCTTCCCTCCCCTCACCCTGACCATTTCCACCCTCCTCGTTCCCTCCCTTCCCTCCCCTCACCCTGACCACTTCCCCAACTGTCCAGTGCCTTGGGACATCCTCCCAACGTGAAAGGCGCTCTAAATGGAATCTTGTTGTTGTTGTTGTTGCCCACAGCCTGGAAACAGCCCTGGTCACAGTCACTAATGACATTCTGAACATCTGTGATCAGGGCTCCCTCTGCCTCCTTGTCCTCCTCGACCTCTCGGACGCCTTTGACACTGTGGACCAATCCATCCTCATACACCGCCTCTCCCCTTTACTCAGTCTTCACGGACCTGCCCTTGTCTGGTTCAATTCCTATATCTCTCACTGTCTCCACTTTGTTGCCTCTAACAGTTTCTCCTCCAGCTCCCGCACTGTCACGTCTGGCGTCCCCCAGGGTTCTGTCCTTGTCTCCTCTTTAATATCTACATGCTCCCCCTCGGGGACATCATCCACAGACATGGGGTCAACTTCCACATGTATTCGAATGTCACCCAACTCTATCTTTCTGCCCCCACCCTCAACTCCAGGACCACTGCTGTCCTGACAGACTGCCTGTGTGCCCCCACCCTCAACTCCAGACCCACTGCTGTCCTGACAGATTGTCTGTCTGCCCCTACCCTCAACTCCAGACCCACTGCTGTCCTGACAGACTGTCTGTCGGACATCAAGTCCTGGATGAGGGCAAATTTTCTACAGTTGAATGTGAACAAGACTGAGGCCCTCCTGATTGACTCGCGCCAGCGCCTCCGCACCTCAGGCTGTGGCAGCATCAACCTCCATGGTTGCACATTTCAACTCACCAGTCAGTCAGGAACCTCGGTGTCTTGTTCGACCCTCAACTGTCTTTTCTCCCCCACATTCAAGCCATGACCCGCTCTGCCTTCCCTCACCTCCGTAACATCACCCGACTCCACCACTGCCTCAACCCTCAGGCGCTGAAACTCTTGTTCATGCTTTCTTCAACTCCAGGCTCGACTATGCAAACCCCCTGCTTGTCGGCCTTCCCAACTCCTCCCTCCACAGGCTGCAGATCCAGAACTCTGCAGCCCGTACCTCTCCCACACCAAACTCCGTGATCCCATCTCCCCCATTCTCGCCCGACTACATTGGCTCCCTATCCTTCAGAGGATCCAGTTCAAGATCCTGGTCCTCACCTACAAAGCCCTCCATGGCCTCGCCCCACCCTACCTCTGCAACATCCTAACCCCCTACCAACCCACCTATTCCCTCCGCTCAGTCGGCTCTGGCTGCTCTACGTCCCCCGACCCCCCCGCCCCACCATTGGCGGGAGAGCCTTCAGCCACTCTGCCCCCAACCTCTGGAATTCCATCCCCCAGTCACTCCGCCTCACCCTTCGACCATGCCATCGGCCGCCCCCCTTCCCTCCCTTCTCCCTCCCCGATCCCAGCTCGGGTCTGAAATGCTGTCACTGTCCAGCGCCTTGGGACGTCCTCCCGACGTGAAAGGCGCTCTACAAATGTCATCTTGTTGTTGTTGTTGTCCCTGGTCCCAGGATCCACCACTCTGATTGCTTTCTGCTTTTTCCTAACCCCTGCTGCCAATTGCTCCTCTGTTTTCCTGGCTGCCTTTCCCTCTTCTCCTCCGCAGTTCTCCCTCCTCCTCTCCCGACCCCCCACTGGCTTTGCTTTCACTGCTATTCTTCCTGTGTGATTGGACAGTGAGTGTTGGCAAATCGATCGTCAATCGCTCCTGACCGCAGAACCTCCCCCTTGGCTTGACTCAACTTCCACATCATTCCTTTCCCAGCAGGAGCTGTTGGAGAGGAATTAGGAATGGAACCTGTTTGATTCCAGACTGAGGTGGGTCTGAGTACACGGGCAGCGACTCTGGGAATGACAGACAAGTTTGCCGCAGGCCTCACGGTCACTCTGGATACCAAGTGTGGTCAGACGTTCATTCATTTGAACTTGTCACGTGACCGTGGACTTGTATGTTTACTCTGGAGATGCTGTTGATGTTGCATCTTTGCCAAACACAGCCATAACGCAGCTCTCTGTGCTGAGGGTCTGCGGCAGCCAGGATTTCATACAATAAACATGAGAGAAGCGCCGTAACAACAACAAGATTAATAATCCTTGTATCTGATGTCGCGCCTCACCGCAACTTCCAGACATCGCAAAACCCTTCACCAAACACTCGGCAAAGTGAATTGATTGTATATTTTGTGGGGGAAACGTGGCAGCCAATGGCCAATAGGTTACAATTATTTATGTGTGTGTGTATATATATATATATAGCGCCTTTCACGCCGGACGGATGTCCCGTGGCACTGAAACATGTAGGACGTCTCTTCAGAGCAACAATGTACCTTTACATCCCATCTTCCCCCCCAATCTCTCAGCCCCCCTCCCCCCAGGTTCTCGGGGATCCCAGCTCTCTCCATCTGTCTTCCTCCCCCCCCCGCCCGCCACACCGCCATTGCTCTCTGGGGCCCCGCCTGACTCTCCTCCCCCCCGCCCCAATCTCTCCTCCCGGTCAATCTCCTTGTGAATGATTTGATGATAAAGAGCTGTGTTAGCAGCTGGTGGTTCTCATACAGCAAACTGTGGCGTTGTGGCTATGTAATTCCAGCCTCTGATCCCCTGTTAGTGAAGCTGATGTGAATCGAGGGCAAAGTTATCCTATTCACGTAAGGGACGACACAGACAAAGCTCTTTCTGTACAGTACGGGGCTAATAGCAGAGCTGGAGAGGAATGCCTGGACTAGGGGAAAGGTTGGTGCTGGGAAGGAGCTGGTCTGAGTGTAAGAGGATTGGAATGGATGTCAGAACAGCAGCGCTGTGTGACCAACACTGTGGGGTCTGACACACCACCCGCATTAACGGCAACAATGTGAAATTCAGTACGTGTGGAAGTACACTCTCTGATCAGCTCCCTCCGCTCAGGCGGCTCTGGCCTCCTCCACGTCCCCCATTCTGCCAGCCCCACCATTGGCGTTTGGAACTTCCTTTCTGCCTCCATCCCTTCGCCTCTCCCCTCCATCGCCTCCTTCAAGGCCCATCTCTAGACCCTACTCTTCGACCACTACTTCGGTCACCCCCACCCTCCACCCGTCCTGATCCCAAGCCTCAGCTTCGGTGCAAATCCTTGACTGTCCAGCGCCTGAGGTGTCCTCCTAATGGGAGAGGTGCTGTGTAAATATCATTTCTTATTGTTATAATAATAATAATCCTGACATTTGATACAGCGCCTCATCACCTCTTCGAGACGTCTCAAAGCACTTCACAGAACATACTGTAAAGTGAATTGACTGTTTATTTTGTGGGTGAAACGCAGCAGCCAATTACGCACAGCAGCGTCCCACAAACGGCCGTGGATTGAAGTGACCAGTTTATTAATATTATTTTATTTCAAAGGGATTCTTATCCCCAGGAAAGTGATCGCCAATCGACTAACAACTGGGTTCCTATTTACTGCTGGTAAACAGAGGTGTGGAGTAAGGAAACTTGCCCAACGTTTCACCCCCTGCCCGGGAATCGCTTGCGAGGCGAGAGCGCTAACCACTGAGCTACAGGACGCCATTTGTTATATCAAGTGCAACGATTATTTGTTTTTTATTGAAGCTTTTGTTGACGTTTCTCTTTATTCCTCTCTGTCTGCCCTCTGTCTCCAGGGGAGCAGTCGGCTCAGGCTCCAGAGCTGGTGTCAGTCAGGGGCGCTGACTGCTGGGCGCCCCCTCCAGGCTCACTAGTGAACTGCGGAGAACAAGAATTATTTGCATCGGGTTTGGATTGGGAACAAGACCAGAGCAACATTCCAGCCCAGTCTCTGTTCTCGTTCCCGGCTGCTGGAGGAGGGTCCATCCTCCCCATGTGGAACACCCCCCCCTCCACACACTCATGTGGAACCAAACCCCAAAGCAGCAATGTCTGACATTAATGCCTTGTATCCAGCCACCAGCTCAGGTGCAAACCCTCGAGTGCTTTGGGAATTCTCCCAACGGAGGTGCTGTATAAATGCAATTGGTTCTTGTGAACAACAGTTAGTTATACCATAGTTCAGTATAGAGTTAGTTATAAAATAGAGATGGAGATAGAGATGGACCATTATAGTTACCCTGTTACCTACCTCAGTGCCTTGGGACGTCCTCCCAATGTGAAAGGTGCTCTATAAATGTAATGTTGTTGTTGTTGTTGTTAATAACCTTCAGCCATGTCAACCCACCTCTTTATAAGTCCTCTGATCCACAGTGACCACTACATTAATACCCCCTCTCTTCCCACTGTAACTAGCTCTGTGTTACATGTTTGAAGATCAGCAATGTTTATAATTGTGCTTTTATATTGTATGTGCTCAATACCTGGTGTTGAATGTTTTCAGTTTATTCTGTATGAAGCTAAGAGAGCTGCAGAGTTCAGATCATTTACTATTTTGCTGTTTCCGCAGGTAACTGCAGGAGCCATGGGGAAAGGTTGCATTAAAGTCACCAAATACTTCCTGTTTCTTTTCAATCTTCTCTTCTTTGTGAGTACAGAGCTGGGCGCTGGCTGGGAACCACAGGGGTGGGTCGGCAATGGGGAACTGGTCTGTGCTTCTCTATGGTGGCTGATTAAGGACCCATCCACGGACAATAGAAGTGGCCGGGATTTACAGGACGTGAATGTTGGTGTGTGTAGTGTGTGGTGTATAGGACGTAGTTGTTGGTGTGTGAGGTGTGTAGGATGTGGGTGTTAGAGGGGATGTGGTGCTGACTGAGCCCTGGTCTCTCTGGCAGATCCTGGGAGCTGTGATCCTCGGCTTCGGGCTGTGGATCCTCCTGGATGACACCAGCTTCATTGCCGTCCTCAGTGAGTAGCTTTCTTCCCTTTCTCCAAACCCTTCAGGCACTTTCTGAGTGTTGGATTTGGAACACGTTATTAAGAAATATTCCTTCTCCTTTTTCCGCTGTGGAATCTGATCCCATGTAAAATCCTGGAGAGAAAGCCTGATTCATGCTTTCATACATATGATTCAACATACGTGGCCACACCAACCTGTCCACTCCCTCCACACAGCGGGCTCCGGCCCACCCCACCGTCGGTGGGCCAGCCTTCAGTCTCTCTGCCGCACCCTTTGGAACTCCATCCCACAGTCCCTCCATCCCGCTCTCTCCCTTGCCTTCTCCAAGGTACGTCTCTAGACCTTGGTCACCCTCCTACTCCTACCCTTCCTGCCCTCCATCCTTCCTGATGCCAACCCCCAGCTCGGGTCCAAATCACTGACTGTCCAGCACCTTGGGACGTCCTCCCGACGTGACGAGCACTGTGTAAATGTAAGTTCTGGTTGTGGCCCCAAACCGGTGCTGCTTCACATGATCGGGTCCCCACGGGAACTGCTTAACGTGTGTTTTGTTCACATTAACGATGTTTGTTTGTTTGTTTGTTTAGAATCTTCCTCCTCGGCACTGAAGATCGGCTCCTACATCCTCCTGGCCGTTGGCTGTGTCACCATGGTGATGGGCTTCCTGGGCTGCCTGGGAGCCGTGAACGAGGTCAAATGTCTGCTGGGATTGGTACGTGGCATCAGGAACAGGATTCACCGTATCCCGGATATTCTGATAACCAGAATATAATAATAATCTTTATTATAAAGAAATAATGATAAAAATTTCCACAACTAATTAATCGCTCTGGGAGGCGACACTGTGCGAGGGACGCTATATAAGTACAAGTTGTTATTGTTGTTTGTGGGACACTGCCATACACAATTGGCTGCCGCGTTTCACCCACAAAATTATAGTCACCCTCTTTACAACAACAAAATTACATTTGTTTAGCGGGTTTTACGTCAGGGGGACCGTAAATATACTTTACAATATATTCTGTGAACGGCTTTGAGACGTGAGAAACCGCTATATCAAATGCACATATTATTATTATTATTTTATAATATTTAATATCGGGTCAAGACACCTGAAAGTGCTTCACAAGCTGACCTGCTGGGGATAGGGGAGAGATGGTTGCTGAGGGCTTCAGTTTCCACTGATGAACACCTTGATCTCTTTCTCTCTCTCTCACAGTACTTCACTTGTCTGCTCCTGATCCTGATTGCTCAGGTCACGGCTGGAGTCCTGATCTACATTCAGAGACACGAGGTGAGATTCCGGTTGTTCTGTGCCGGTTGATTTATCAGACAGATTAAACCGCTGTGCCAGGGAGTTGACACAGATCGAATTCACAATGGTACTCGAGTCGAGCTTCTGTGATGATCTCTAGTCTGGTTCCTGGTCTAGCGCTGCTGATGACAGAACAGCAGCTAAAGCCATAAATGGTTTGCGGACAAACAGCGATGTGACTTTCTCCGTATTTTAAAAAAGCAAGGATTCGATCAGCTATTTTTTGGAGTAGAGAGCTGGCCTGTGGGGTGGGGGGCGCATACAGCATGTCCCTCCGAAAGGCACAGCTGGAGCCTCTGCCTGGCTGCCTGCAGAGCTTTCATGTTCCTGTTTGGCTTATGAAGGGCTGGTTTTGCTCAGAATGAGGTCACTTGCTTTATTCACTCTCTTACACACTTGTTCGTTCCCTCACCAGCTGAGATCTGAAATGTCTGAGATTATTCATAAAATGATTGTCAAATACAATCCCGATGAAATCCAGGAGAAAAGCTTTGGGCAGACGTGGGATTACATTCAGAAGAAGGTGAGTAACGTCTTGTATACGAGAGAGAAACACACAAGGAGCCCAAGCAGTTGTGGGGGAGGATCTGTGTGCCTCGCGCTGCCACAGTGCTGCTCTGTGAGGGGATTAATGTGGAGATTGTGTGAAGGGGAGGACGGGTGGAGTGTGGGCATCAATTAATGCCATCCTTTCCAAGAGCCGCTTAGACATCCTGGAGACTAGCAGCAGCTTCCTTGAACAAATGAATGGGAGTTAGCAATTGGCACGTTTCTCACCTTAAGACCTTCCTCTTCGATCGTGCCTATGTCTCCCGCTGGCTCGGTGTCAGACTCTGCCACTGTCAAGCGCTCCCGGACCTGCCCTGTGTGAAGGGCACTACATAAGTGCAACTTGCTGCTGTCTCAAGTCTTTGCATCCTAAAGCAATCCGTGTAATGATGCCATGATATGCTGGGGGGGTGATGGGGAAGGGTTTTGAGGCCCCCCATGTTGGCATTGCCTGTAAGTGACTGCAGGGTGTGGGAGCTGGTATTATATTTGTTCAATATTTAATCACAAGAATAAGGATTTTACAGAAAGACGACTTTTCTTCCTTGCAGCTGAAATGCTGTGGCTGGAACGGGCCTTCAAACTGGACGGAGAACTTGGTCATAAAGAACAGCTCCCTGACTCTCTACCCCTGCTCCTGTCAGGTCAATGAGACCGTGACCAATTCAGGCTTCTGTAAAGGAACATACCCTGCGTGGCCTGTCAATAATAAGGTCAGTTATGTATGTTTTACCTCCCCTTCCCGGTGTCAAACGTCGCTGTATAATATCAATGTTACATTCCAAGAGGCCTACAGGAGCAATTGCTCATTGTGTGAAGTGAGAAACTCAGAACCACTGCAGATGCACTCGTATTGTCGGTGTAAAAGTGGTGAACTGGTTTATAGAGTTCACTGAGCCAGTCACGTTGCACAGTCCTTCTTATTCTCCAAACTGCTGCCCATGTCTTAGCTGGTGGATGTAATTACTTAGAATTTCTGAAATTTTCAGACATAGTTCCACAAGTGAGACTTAAAGACCAGGAACGAGAGGCTTGACTTACGAGACAGTAGAAAAACTGGACTCCTTTACAAAATGTGTTCAAAATAATGTGTTTATTGGCCTCCCATTTTCCCCCCTGCTCTAAACATTACCAACCCTCAGGGCATCGCTGATTGCAACTTTGCAGACACAACACTGCAGAAACGATGTGGATAAAATGAACAGTCTCAAGTAAGATTAGAAACTGCCCGCAGGTGTGTACAGATCTCCCTCAACAAGCTATGCTGATGCACTGAAAATTAAGCTGGCTAGGTATCTGGGATGAATGGAATTCAGGGTTAAGGTTGGGTTTAGGCTCTTATTGGCTGTTCCAGGAACAGAATCTGCCCTCAAACTCTTCAACAATAATAATAATCTTTGCTTTTAATACGCCTTATCAGGTTGTTGAGACGTCTCAAAGAGCTTCACAGAAATTACTGTGAAGTGGATTGACTGTATTTTATGGGCGAAACTTGGCAGCCGATTGCTCACAGCAGTGTTCCACAAACAGTCGTGGATTGAGTGACCTAATTATTATTGGAGGGATTATTACCAATATTAATATTATTGGTGTAAAGTGACCCACCAATCAACTAACACTACTTATTGCTAGGTACACAGAGGCATGTGGAGTAAGGAAACTTGCTTAAGATTTTCGCCCTGCCCGGGAATCGAACCCAGGTCCTCTTTTGGTAGGTGAATGCACTAACCACACTACAGAAATACTTGGTGAATTAACATAGTTTCTCTGTTGGTCAGGGTTGCATCACATTTATTGAAGAGTGGATACAAAGCAACATTGGCACTATTTTCGGTGTGTGTATTGGAGTTGCAGTGATTGAGGTGAGCAAATAATCTTCAAAGTTGATTTTTATTAACATTATTGAGTGATTCGGTGAGTGAGAATTTGGGCTGTTGGAGGCTGCTGGAGCAGAGTTGGCTTTGATGCACTTCCCTGCCTGCTCAGGCTCCAGATCAGGATCGTACATACTGATGGCAATGGCTCACCGGCTTCAGTGGGCAGCTTGACTATGTGTCAGGGAAAACTTTTGTCTCCTTGTAGTCTCTTGGTAGACTCCAGCCAATTGGCTCCTGTTCTGAGTGGCCCAGGGTTTATATAATGCTTTTCGACCTCATCAAAGTACAGATATTTATCTAATAATGAATCTAGCAATGTAATATCAGATTGATCTAATAATGAATATTCTCTACCTGCAGTTGCTGGGAATGATCCTGTCAATGTGTCTTTGTAAGAATGTGGAGCAAGAGGACTACAGTAAAGTTCCCAAGTACTGACACGCCCGCATAGGCAGTGTGATGCTTCAGTGACCAATTCCAACCACATGGATTGTTTAATTTTCATATTCTCTGTATTGCTTGTAATGTTGCTTTATATCCTTAAGCACTTTAAGTCTGATTTTTGATAAGACTGTGGACCTTGTAAAAATGATCTGCTCTTTTGTAGTTAGAGAACTTTTAGCATGATATTTTTTGGAAGAAATAATTCAACAAAGACTGAAGATTTTGTATTGCATGTGATAGGCTGTGTTGTTCACAGATCATTATGAAAACAGTGGACCTAGATTGGTGGAAGACATATATGGAGAATATTTCACTTCATGGCTTTGTTGGGATATTGCAATGCGCAAACTAGCTGCTGTTTTACTACAAACACGGTGGTACTACACTTTACGGTGAAATTCTGTGAAGTGCTTTGGAACATTTCGATGATTTGATTATCAAATTGCAAGGATTATTATGTGTTCTGCTGTGAGCAATCAATGTAACTATCAATGTTCTTCCTAGTGTATCTGAAGGCTGCACAAGATTGTTGTTTATGCTGTGAGTTATTCACAATCACAGAATGGTCAATGTTCTTGTACAGCGTCAATAAACCCTTTGTAAAGAAAAAAGTCGTTGGTGCTGATTCTGTAAATAACAACTTGCACTTATATAACACACTCCATGCAGGATCGCGTCTCAGAGCGCTTAACAGTGGCGGAACCTGACTCCGAGCCGGTGGGGGGGAAGAGGTGGCCGTAAGCACAGTTGAAGAGAGAGGTTTTCAGGTTGAAAAAGGGGAGAGTGGGGGCAAGGCGGAGGGATTGAAGGAGTGTTCCAGAGTTTCAGGGCGCAGTGGCTGAAAACTTGACCTCCGATGGGGCGGAGGATGCGAGGGACGAGCAGAAAACTGGTGCCAGTCGAGCGAAGGCGCTGACGAGGTGGTGGATTGGGGAGTGAGGAGGTTGGAGAGGTAGGCAGGTGCCAAGAAGTGAAGGGATTTGAACACAAGTGTGAGGATCTTGGAAGTCAATCTGTTTGGTGATGGAGAGCCAGAACTAGTGAGATGGGGATGTCAAAAACATGTCCAATTCACTAGCAAAGAGCAGAGATATCAGGATCTGACTGTGGGAACACTCTGATTTAATTGGCTTCACTGTTGGCCGTCTGTGTACAATCAGTAAAGAATGTGTGTTGATTGTGAAATTAATATTTATTGAAATTGAAAATATAGGCTGAATTTGCAGGTTACTTTAGCCACTGAGCACTGGAGCTCACATATGAAGCCATTACAGTTTCCTTTCAATGCTAATTCTAAACGCACAATGGGAGCCACAGAGAGGATTGGTTGTGTTTCTGGTTAGGACACTGTGCTATAAATGTTGTCATAGCAGTCCTAGTGGGCAAAAAGGTTCATGCTGCCTGCTTTACTACTTTATACAAAAGCATATGACCAGATCAAAATGGTCTATATGTTTAAGCAAACATTAATATGGAGGGTCACACAAGCTTCTGATAAAGCATTGAGCACATGGAAACAATCCGTATTAACAATGCAATAACAACAAAGAGAGGAAACTAATATTCTGCATTTATCTTGTGATGTTTAGCCACCACTGTCACCCTAACTAATCAGCATGCCAAAGACTTGCAGACTTGCCAAGAAAACTCAGCGGATAACTGATGCACTGCAAAAGAAGGCCAAGGTTATCTTCAATCCCTACTCAATCCCACCTGTTTTGACATGATAACATTACTATATTTCTACAGTTACGTTGGAGAACCTCCTCATCATTTCACCACAACATTTTCAAGAAAGGGCTGCATTTAATTTGGAGAGATGATATAGTGGGTACAAGATAAAACATTGTTAAACTATAGTTCTAACTGTATAAACATATTTACACAAATATAAAAGTTATTTAAAACATTCAGTTCATCACTGAACAAAACAGGTAAAGTGATTCTGTAATAGAAAGCATTGTTGCCAAAACACAATACTGGTTTCACTAGAAATTATATTGCCTGTGACGAAATTAGCCACAGGGATAGTAGCATCATCAATATCTTGTGCTGGCTCCACTGAATACAACCTTTACCTGTAAACATGGAAAACAAAACTTTTAAACGACATTCTCAGGAGCTGAGATATCTAAATACTGTATTTAAATAAAGCCTTAAAAATAGCACTTTTTGAATTTGCAGTAAAGCTGTAATTCTGCACTTTGTGTTAGCCAGTAACAGACGATTTTTAACAGCTGAATGTTGAACAGGCCCGTTTGGCCATCTCAAGACCTTCCTCTTCACCCGTGCCTTAAAGAAACTCCTGCACCTACTCCTGTTCCCCGGATCGGGGTCTCTACCTTCCTGTAATTAATACTGACATCAAACAATTTGCAACTCACACTTGGTTATCTCAGGGCCGAATGCACCAAGATTTATCTCAGCAATTTCCAACATAAGTAGTTGACACAAATTGGAAGAGAAATTTTCTGTAAATAATTTACCTTTATCCACAATAAACTTATAGGTAATTTTAAATCCAGGTTTTTCAGGATGTCCAGGATGCTTGAATTTAAACAATATTGTGTGTCCTTCAAGGTTGGGCACATTCATGTTTCCACAGAATTTTCCTTTATCATCAGGAGGTGCTTTAGACACATCAAATATATTCAAATAACCATCTACACAATTTTCCGAGGGCTTAAGGTTCATTATTTTAACTGTCGTGAGTGCCTGTTAAAGAATAAAATAAAACATTTAATGCAGCTATGAAAAAAGATAAATATAAAAAAAATTCAAATATTATAGCTGGAGATCAGGACAGGGGATGAGGGTTGATGGAGGTTCACGTGGAGTAAAAGTTCACGTAGATTGGCCAAATGGCCTGTTTCTGTGCTGCACAGTCTAATTGCAGATGCATGAAACTCATTTTGCCTTGGAGACTCTTCAGCACAGTGATGGGTTTCTGCATGTGTTACGACACCCAAATGGCCCAAAAAAAGAAATTCAGATTTAGAGTATGATCGCATTTTTAATCTTGTCATATATCTAAACCATATCTGGACTAAATGTTTGCCTCCCAAAGGTAATTACTCATTCTTTACCTAGGACCCATGTATTTGTGATGATCACATTTGTTTCTCAATCCTTTCATTCAGAAATTAATATCACATTTGTACTGGTGTCATCTCTGTTGTGTTTCTCGCTTTCTCAAATTATTCGTGCCATGAGCTTGAATGGACAACAGCTGTCACCTCAACGACCAAAAGTCCTCAATTAAACTATCACAAGTAAAGGTCACTCTACACGTCACTTGTCCATCAATCTTTGCTATTGGCCAAACTTAGGCCAGGTGTGCAGTGTGTGAGCAGCTTTTGAAACTAGTGATTTGCACAGGACATTTTACAGGAGATTTACTGCAATATCCCAAAATGCATTCCAAATTGAAATTAAATTTAAGATTTTTCAAAAATTGACCAATCTTAAATTGATAAAAATCCTTGCATTTGATATAGCACTTTATCATGTCTTTGAGATGTCTCAAAGCACTTTACGGAATATACTGTCAAGTGAATTGATTGTGTCTTTTGTGGGCAAAAACATTTTTTTTTAATTTTGAGGGATTTAAGAGAGTCAGACTAAGATGAGGAACACATTCAGCCTTCTGGGATCTCCTTTGATACGAAAATACTGTAAGAGTGCATAGGTTTTTCTCATGTATGGTACACATACCTTTTTGCCTTTTGGTGCAGCAAGTAGCCAAACGCACTGTGTTGATTTATTTGAGTCAATGGAACCAAAATATTCATAACTGTATAAACGATGACCCTTATAATTGGGCAACTCCATTGCACATTTAACTAGAAAAACAAATCCATCATTAAGCAATACACAAACTCACATTGGAGTATCAAGCATATATATATATATATTTGAAAATTATGATGAAACATTACCAAATTGATACTTGGCACTAAAACCCTTTGCATCTTTGTTTTTGAAACTGGAAAAAGCAACCAATAATATGGAGTTGGAGGAGACCACTGCTGGAGCTAGCCTGCCACACACTGGGCCTTTTAGGGGTTTTAATTTAGAACTGGTTCCATCATAAATTGTTACGGAATCACTTGTGCAGTGCCACATTTTTCGAATATGAAACGAATCGAACTCCAAGAGGACCTGCAATAAACAAATGACATATTAAATCCTGCTTTTTATACAGAGAAATTATTCAGATGAATCAGGACGCTGTTATATAAGTTATCAAATGTAAAACAGGTGAGTGTTGTATGGGTAACCAGAGGTAAAGGGTACATATGTATGTGTCTGGTCTAGATTCTCTAAAAGTACGGTGATGGGTTTTGGCATGTGTCAGGCACTCAACTGACCAAAAACAAGTTGAAACAACACATTTACAATATGGTTGGAGCCTGCCACAGCATAACTCTGTGCATAGTGCACAGGAATCATGGCTGACCAATTTAATGTCACCAGTGTGCAGGAATCTAATAATAACAATAATCCTTGCATTTGATCTAATGCCTTATCAGGTCTTTGAGATGTCTCAAAGTGCTTCACAGAATACACTGTAAAGTGAATTAATTATTTTGTGGGTGAAACGTGCGCACAGCAGTGTCCCACAATCAGTCGTGGATTGAGTGAGCAGACTATTATTCATTTAATTTTTTTTATCAGTAACCGTGCTCACTACTCCAATAACTGACTGTTATATCCAGGCGGGTTAGAATGAGTTTGGCTTGAATTTGTTGTGCAGCTACCACATACCTTATATTTAGCGGGTGCTTGAATCACCCACTGACAATCAGCATGACTTGGATATGGTTCTGGGTAATTTGGAGTGGTAAAAGATCCAAAATCGTGTACTAACAATTCACTGCATTTTTCTAAAGTAAATTCATAACAGATCATAGGAAAAGTTTACGATTAAAACCACAATGCAATACAAAACACTAAAATCAAGCTAGCAGAGTGCCTCTCTTATACCAGCTACAAATTGTTTTATTGTTTTCAATAAATTTAGTCATTTTATTTCCTTCGGGAACCACTAATGGGAGGTGAGCTTTGGGACGTCCTCCTGACGTGAAAGGCGCTCTGTAAGTGTCATTTTGTTGTTGTTTGTTGTTGTTGAGTTGGTGTAAGTACATTTACAAGCTAAAAGTTAAATGTGACATGTCCTATCCTTTTTCTTTAATGCAGAGCAAGCAAGCAGCAACCACAGACAGCAGTTAATAATAATAATCCTTGCATTTGATATAGCACTTTTCACGTCATCTAGACGTCTCAAAGCGCTTCACAGAATAGACTGCAAAGTGAATTGACTGTATATATTTGTGGGCGAAATACGGCAGCCAATTGCGCACAGCAGTGTCCCACACACAGTCATGGATTAAAAATGACCGAGTTATTATTGTTTTTTTTTCTTGAGGGATTATTATCAGTTGTGTGGAGTAAGGAAACTTGCCCAAGGTTTCACCCTACCGAGAATTGAACCCAGGTCTCTCGCTTGCAAAGCGAATGCTCTAACTACTGAGCTACAGGACTCCACGTTGTGTTTTAGTCAGCCAGTGTCTGACACACGTGTTTAAGAGATCCAAACCAAACAGAATTTTATGCATCACACATATGCATTCCCAGGTTTTACAATGGAATACACACTCTCCCTGGAGGAATGCATCCTGCTTATCTAATTCCGAGAGTATTATTATGGTTAGGCCTGAGCTAGAGACTGTGTACAGTTCTGGGCACCACACTTTAGGAAGGATGTCAAGGCATTGGAGAGGATGCAAAGGAGATTGACCAGGATGTTATCAGGAATGAGGGATTTCAGTTATCAGAGATGCTCCTTGGAGCAGAGAAGGTTAAGAGAAGTATAACATAAGTATAATATAACTTAATAAAAGTTTTCAAAATTATGAGGGGATTTAATGGGATGAACAAGGAGAAACTATTTCCACTGGCGGGTGGGTCTGTAACCCAAGGACACTGATTTAAAATAGTTGTTGAAAGAAACAGAGGGGAGGTAAGAAGAAGTTGTTTCACACACCGAGTTGTTGGGATCTGGAATGCATTGCTCGAAAGGGTGGTGGCAGCCAATTCGATAACAGCTTTTAAGAGAGAAGTAGATAATTATTTGGGGAGGACAGGGCTATGGGATGGGGAGAGCATGAGAGAGTGGATCGATTTGGCTAGCTCTTTCAAAAGTGCCGGCACAGACACGATGGGCCGAATGACTCCTTCTGTGCTGCATAATTCTATGATTAGGCACAGATTGGCAAGACCCAATGCCTGGGGATTCCTGAGTATTTGGTGGAGTACTGCTGGAGTCTAACCAGGTAAAACCGCATAGGTTGTCATTGAAAGTACTGTCTGGCAAGCTTTATCTCTGTTTGTCGAGTTAGGATCATTCTACCAGTTAGCACTTTGGCTTGTAGGGTAAACAGGAGCTGAATGGGAAGAGGCTCTGGCCTCAGTGATTATCTTGAAAAGGGGCAAGTCTGGCAGACGAGCCAGGCTAGGGCTGGGTAGTCATCAGCGGTGCCCTAGAGTACACATCTTCTCCCCCCCTGCCCCCCAGGGATCCAGATCACCAAGACCACAACAGAAGGCTGACTTGATTCCGCCATTCTGTTGCCAAGCATGTCATCTTGCAACCAGTTCAGTTCCAAGGAGCCCCTGCTTACTTTCTCCACCCTAAGGGGAATAGTCACTAGATGGTCGTTTGACATCTGATCAAAGCAGACTTGAGCCCTCACTGAAAGGATGATTGGTACCAGGAAATCCTGTAGGTTTCCTCATGAGCAGCACAGCTTAACATGAAATCAGTGGGAGCACTGCCACTATCTACCGAGCTACATCTCAGACACACATCCCTACTCATTGTGTCTTGGAAAAAATACCTTTACAGCGTTAGGTAAGACCATGAGATTACTGGGAGGGGGAACTATGGTAATTCAATTTCTGTCTTCCCAACCAGTGTTATGTTAATATGCTGCTAGATTATAGTACAAAAGTTCAACTGAGGTTAATAAATTATTAAATGGTAACTTTTTTAAGAAAGAAGATAAACACTTACTGCAATTATACAATTTCCTGATTTTGTTGATATCATTCACACTGAAGCCATAGATTTGCCCAATTATTGTATCAGGATTTGGTTTGGGTAAAATTGTTGGTAAAGAATTTTTGGAAAAAAGGTAGCTGTAATCCCAAAATAGAGTTTGATTGTTAAACTTAAAATTCTAAATTCTATATTTAAATGCTTATAGGAACATAGCAACATAGGAACAGGAGTAAGCCATTCAGTCCTGTTCTGCCATTCAATTAAATCATGGCTGATCTGTACCTCAAATAATCCTGTCAATTCCAATTTCCCACTTTTCCCCATATCCCTTAATACCCTGACCTACAAAAAATCTATCAACCTCACTCAGATCGATTCAGCATCCACAGCCTTTCGGGGAGCGAGTTCAGATTTCTACCATCCTTTGAGTGAAAAAATGCTTCCTGATTTCACTCTTAAATGTCCTAGTTTAATTTTAAGACTACTCCCCCTTGTTTTGGATTCCCCACCAGAGGAAATAGCTTCTCTGTATCTACCCTATCGAATCCCTTTATCATCTTAACCACCTCAATCAAATCACCTCTCAACCTTCTAAACTCAAGGGAATACAACCTAGGTTTATGCAGTCTTTCCTCGTAACTTAACCTTTTAAGGCCTGGTAACATTCTAGTGAACCTGCACCTCACCCACTCCAGGACCAATATATCTTTCATGAGGTGGGTGTCCAAAACTCAACGCAGTCTCCGGATGGAGTCTGATCAACACTCTATACAGCTGAAGCATCATTTATTTCCCTTTGTATTCCAGGCTCTGAGATAAAGGCCAACATTACATTCGCCTTTTTGACTACTTTTTGCACCTGGAACGAGTTTTTAGTGATTGGTGGATATGGATACCCAAATCCCTTTGCTCCTCAACAGTTCTTAGTCTCTCCCCATTATGAAAATATTCTGCTTTATCTTTTTTCGATCCACAGTGCATGACCTCGCACTTCCCTACATTGAATTCCATCTGCCACAGCTTAATAGTAAAAATAATCCTTGCATTTGATATAGCGCCTTCTCATGTCTTCGAGATGTCTAAAAGCACTTCACAGAATATACTGTAAAGTGAATGGACTGGATATTTTGTGGGAGATATCATCATTCAAAAATATATATTTTACACACAAGTTTTTAAGATTAATCATGGCGTCAGAGATGTGACCGCACGGTCCTAAAATCTATCACTCCAGGCTCACATCAGCCAAATCGCTCTACTCCAGGATCATTTTGAAGAACAAGAACAATCCTAGGTTCCTCTTCATCATGAACCTCCTTTGTCCACCTTCCCAGCCCATCCTCTCCTCCAACACAAGACAAAAAGGTGGGTTTCATGTGGGAGATGGAGGGATGAAGGAGTGATGGGATCAAAGATGTGGAGAGAGGATGGGTGGAGCCTGGAATGGGGTGGCAGTGGCAGAAGAACGGATGGAT